CCCAGCCAGCTGACCCAAACCAACCAAAGGAGTATTCCATACCATACATCAGCTCAGACATAAAAGCTAAGAAAAAGAAGAAAGAGGAGGAATTACTTATTTGTGTTTGTCCTCTGGAGCAACACCACACATACTGAAGCTCTGCATCCCAGGAAGCAGCTGGATATTGCTTGCTGATGCGGAGTAGAGAATAATCTTTTTGTTTGCTTTTGCTTCTGCATGTGGCCTTTGCTTTTGCTTTACCAGACTGTCCTTATCTTGACCCATGAGCCTCTTGTTATATTTTTTCCCTCTCCCCGTCAATCTGAGAAGGAGGAGGGATAGAGCAGGATTGGTAGGTACCTGGCCTCCAGCCATGGTCAACCAGCACAGTATTTTATATATAGAATCATAGAATGGTTTAGGTTGGAAGGAACCTTAAAGATGATCTGGTTCCAATCCTCCTGCCGTGGGCAAGCACATCTCCCACCAGAGCCGGTTCCTCAAAGCCCCATCCAACCTGGCCTTGAACACTGCCGGGGGGGAACTGCCACATCTTCTCTGGGCAGTCTGTGCCAGAGTCTCACCATAAAGCCAGAGCCTCACACTAAAGAACTTCTTCCTAATGTCTAATCTAAATCTACTCTCTTTGGGTTTGAAACCATTACCCCTTGTCCTATCACCACATTCCCCCATAGAGTCCCTCCCTATCTTTTCTGCAGCCCCCTTTAAGTACTAAAAGGACACTATAAGGTCTAAAATCAAATAATTTACAATAGTAGCAATCTTAAAAATAATTACATTTCTTTACTGAGTTCAGATTAGAAATGGGCAGGGGTTTTTTATACTGCAGAAGCCAGAAGTTGTTTCACCATTTAAAATGATGAAAAAAATCCAACAGATGATCTGACCAGTACTTTGGGAAAAATCCTTTTCAAACTAAAAATGTTTCATACTAATCAGAACTCGAATACTAGTCTATTATTCATTCTGCGATGGAATACCTGTTGTTACCTTTGAATAGAGACCTAAGACAAGAGCACATGCATATAGAACACTTGATACAGATGTTCAGACAATGATAGTAGCAGCCCTTCCAGAGTGTATTTCACAAATCAGTTAGGATGAAGCAAACAAGTATACACTGCTCACAGAAACCCATTAAAGGATGGAGTCACAGAAGCAGACTTGAAGTTATAATTTTTATTAAAAAAAATTTCAGCTGTAGTGTACTCTCAGAACAGAGGAAAACACCAGAGGCAAACCAAAATTAGGTCTTGAAGCAGAGATCGAAGAGAAGGCAGTGAAGCAAAACTATATAATATTACACAGTGAAGATGAAGGCCATTTTATTGTGTTGCTAGTAGCATCTTTAAAAAAAAAAGCTCACAACAGGTTTGACTGTATGGTAGGACTGGATGAAGCATAAGGCTCATATTTCATAAAAGACTTAGCTCAGTCAGTTGAGTGTGGCACTAACAACACCAAGGTCGTGGGTTCGATTCCCGTTCGGTCCCCATGTGTTGCCGAGGTGGCGTCCCTGGGGACAGGGAGACTGGATTAAAATGATCTCTAAGGTCCCTTCCAGTCTAGACCATTCTATGATTTTATGACTGCTAAAGTAGACCTAAAACATAGGCCAAGATCAGATCTGGAAAATCATGGTTGCACAAGGGGAAGAGAAAAGAACACCACGAAAACTGACATAAACTATGTACGATTAATAGAATGATTCTGTCTCTCAGCTATTTTCTCTCTCTGTTTGAGCACTGGTGAGGTGTTGGTCATCATCATGCTGGCACCAGACACGTAATGATCACTAAACTTCACCCAGGTGTAGCAGACACCAGTGATTTACGGGAAGAAAAAAATTACCATTTTGGCAATAACATCTGAGAGCTGATAAGTAACATGTATGGTAAAGATGTAGCATAATATTAAATTTAGATTTTGATTAGTACAGTAGATCTGTGCAATATAACTTCCCTGAGTTCACTGCACTTCAGAGATTTTTCCCATGTAGCTTTAAATCTGAAGTGACAGACTGTATCATGAGAAAGACAGCTAAAAGAAGCCAACTTTAGAAGTCCCAAATTCAGAAAACATTGAAGAGATTGGCAAGGGCTTCACCAAACATTTACATTAAACATGAATTGTTGTTCTGATTACATCTTAAAGCCAGTAAATGAAGAATAATTTATTTAAACACTCATCTCCTCCTACCATTTTTTCAATTTTTTTTTAAGCACAGCATCTCAGCACAAAGTATTACTTCTCTCAAACAAGTTACCTTTATAAAACACTACTACAGAAATGTAATTAGTCATAATTAACCACAAAAAAAAAGAGATTGTCTCACTTGTTCTTTGTGCTTCTGTGGCTCAGGGTTTTTTTTGCTCTCTTTAAAAAATTATTATTCATGGCAGATACATACCAACTTTAACACACAAAGCATATGGATTTGCTACAAGCTACCACTGCTCCCACTGAAGTCAGGACAAATGACCACAAAAACAAACATTGGGGAGGGCGGGGGGAATCAAACAAATCTTAACTTATGTTACAATCTGGACACAGCAAATGCTCCTATATTTGCATCTGATTCTGCCCAAAATATTCGCTCAGTTTTCCAGTAACTGATCAAATCTTTTCTCACTTACTTATGTTTTCAGCTGTGAAAAGCTCAAAATGCTTCAAGAAAGTGAGTGGATTTGTAGACATTATATCATCTTTTGGGGAGAGTTATATAGCCATTCCCCTTTCTTACACTGGTTGGCAGAACTAGCTCACAGTAGAAGTATTTCAATATTCAAATTCTCACCTATGCATGTTGCCAGTATTGATAGCCGATGTAAATCTCCAATACCTGTGACAAAGGACAAGACAACTCAACACTACTCAATGCAGTTTAAGAAATACCAAAATTAAATACTTCAGAGGAATAAAATAGCAGTGAACAGAATGGTGACTGTTGTCTGTAGTAATTCTTATCATAATGTTAAGTGCAGTATATCACATATACCCAAGAAATCAAACAGTACCCATAGAAAATGAGTAGAATTGACCAACCCACAACCCCAGACATCTAACTGTGTTAACTTTTCAAAACTGTACCTGACATTTGACTTCTGCCTGAAAGAGAAGAGATAGCATAACAATATTCTGAATGTATAAGAAAAAACTGTATTTAATTTCAAACCTGCTACAAAAAAGCCTAAAGTGAAAGAGTTAAGCAACTACTCTCCAATTAGCTGCATTAATGATGCCTCAGAGCAGAGGCCAAGCAGCCAATGCAAACCTAGTTCAAAGTATGCTTTTAGGATTAGCAAAAGAGAATAGGTTACATCTGCTGACAAAGGAAATATTTTCATGGTTTAAACAGATCACCCATGCTCTAGTATCAATTCTTTCACCGTGCTGGTGCTCAGCTCTTGATCTTTTTGGACAGCAGTTTCCATACCTACATTGCTCTAGCACATTACACAGCAATAGAATAATATGGTTCTTTAACTGATCCCGTCAAGAGCTGGCCAACAGCTCAGTAACAGCTCCTAAAGCCTGGTGCAACAGAATCAAGTTTTATTACTCCAGAATCCACATAAGGTGGTACAAATGAGCTGTTTCTCTTTAGAATGTACCTTTTGACTTTATTTTGCAGCTAAACATTTTTGAGGACCAGCTAGGAAAAGGCTTAGGACTCCTTCTATAAGATGTCTGGAACTTATTTCTGATGAAGTATATAATGCGTCCTTTGCTTTTAATACGCACAGAAGCAGAATATCCCCATCCACCTTAGCTTGAGTTTATTGCTAACAAATTGCTGCAGTAGAATTAAAGCTCAAACATGAGCCAAAAGAGTAATGAGCACTGCTAGATAAGCTCTAACAGCATAGAAATAACCATAGCAATTTTACTCAGGCTCCCCCTAAACATGATTTAAAAAACAAAAACAACAACAACAACAAAAACCACAAACCCAAAAAGTAATTGATCATGTTAGTTGGATTTTGCCCTTAAACTGCAATAAGATACATTGTAAACTAAGCACACATTGTATTTCTGAAAGCTTTCATAATACCATGAACATAAATCTGATGCGACTGAGATATTCCAGTGATGATTTCACTTCCAGTGCTGTGCCATACCTTCACCTGTAACTGTCCTTGCCAGCAAGGCTGTGGATTCATAATGTAGACTTAGTAAACTGAAGTCTTCAAGCATCTGAAGTTCTCAAGCCACAGGGACACTACTGATACGAGTTTTATAAGTCGAAAAGCCCCAAAATAATTTCATATTTAAGAGGTGCTTTCCATTATACACTTTGGTATTATTAACTTATACTTAGCAGATGTTAAGAATAGTAAAGATCCCACATATCTGCTAAAGTTGCCTTCTAGGATTTTCTTATCTTCTTACACATCACTGTAGAGGCCAGATGATTTGACAAAACACAATTCTGCACTGTTTTGTCTCTCCCAAACTCTACAAACATCACCCCACTTATATACATAACTTGGCTGTATGTTGTTGTAGTTTTACAGCAAAGGACAGTACTCAATGCAAGCTATTACTATGATTAAGTACCATACCATCCAAAGCTGGGTGGCACAGGAACCACACACTTTTAGGTAAGTACACAAAAACCAGGGTTTTTTTAGAGCTCTAACCTGTGATCACGAATTTCAGCCGCTTATCCTGCTACTGGCCTTTCAGCTGAGGTTAAGCGATTACTTTTTTCCATCTCTGTCTCCTTATCTGTAAAAGGGAGAGATATTTACTCCATTTTACAATTGTTATGACATCTATAAATAAAGAAGCTTACGAAGGAGTATTGTTACTACCAAATATACATTAATTATGATTCATCATCGGTCTATTTATCATTGCATTAAGAGAACTTGTTCCTGTTTTCCTTTTAGTTCCTGAGGAGACACACTGTCAGCAGTCCATCAAAAATTAAACTAATGTTTTTATTTTTACTAAATAATTATTTTAATTTCTTTCTTTGTTTAGGGATAAAATATAACATGGGATTCCAGCAACCAAAAAAAGTAAGTGTTCAGAAGTACATAAAGAAAATTGTACCCATTTTCTGAACGTGGAGTACAGATAGAGACAGCTCAGACAAGGCCACTAGACTGGAAATGAAGCACTGAAAAGGAAAGATGTGTCAAAGCTTTGCCAAAAAGTGCAAATTTTATTTTTAAAATATGAATTTGATAAGCTATGCAACTTTAGTTTTATGAGTTTTTTCCTAGACTGCATATTGCTAAAAGATATTTTAAACTTTGCATATATTAATGTTCCATACGAAATCATACTGATTAAATGAATGTCAACGAGATGCTTAAAAATAGGCTAAATTAAAATGCTGGTGAAATTCCTCCATCTAGTGGCTGCTGGCACACTCACAGCAGCAGTGACTTGCTGCTCTGGGCTGTCGCTATTTCATAAAGGACAAGTGCAAACTATGAAAAGGAACAACTGTGCAGCTGCCAGCTGTTACCCAAGTGCCATTGCCTGGCAAAATCAGTGCGGTGGGACTGACATCATTCCAACTTGACAGCTCTAGCTTGACCTTCTGGATGACAAGTTACACCAACATTCAAATCATGGCATTTGAGTTTCCCAAAAACTATAGGTTCATCACCATCGTCATTAAAGGTGAGAATATCTAGGAAGTCTGAATTTTACAACCTTGAAATATCATGCTGCATCAAGACCATGACCCTACTAATCCCTATACTGTGCACCTTAAAATTAATCCATTATCTTTTTTTTAAGCCAATTTTAAATGTTATTAGGGAACAAATAAAGACTGAAATTCAGAAATTCACAATCCATCAGAGCTCTAAACAAGTATTAAGTATTTCAGGTAAGCAATAAACATGCTGCAAGTACATCTGCTTCGTCTGTTGAAATACTCCCTAGGGGTTCATATGCCACTTGGCTCTCAGGTGAGTTCTCAAAACAGGGATAACATGTAGTTAAACAGTGTCCAGAACCTAATTTTAGTCTTACAGGCATAGACATGTAGACAGGGGTTTAATTTAGCTGCTTTGAGAAGCAGGAAGTAACGGAGCACATCCGGGCTGTATGCCAAAACAAGTATTATCTGGCGAGATCCACCTAATGAAAAAGAACAGGTCCCAGAAACCCCTTAGCCACAGACCTGCTTTGCTCAGTCTGTTCTCACGTGTGTAATCCCAGGCACAGCTTCAGTCCCACCTTGACTGCTGCTTATCAGGTCTCGACTGCTTCGCTCCCAGGCTCACCTCACTCAGGTCTCTCTTTGGGGTCCCTATTCCCACTGCTCTTGCCAAACCCACTTCTCCACAAAGCCTCCACATGGCCACGGCAGTCCTTGCTGCTGCCCTCTTCCCGCTCTTGCTCCCTCCACACCTTCACTCCTACCGTACAAACGCTGTGAAGCTCCCTTCCCTGTCAGGCTTCACAACCGTCTCACCGAGAAGATCAGCTACCGAAGGAGGGGGCTGGGGGGGACAGATCTGTGTGACAAGAGGCTATCTGGAATAATTAGGTATATCTTCAAAATACTCAGATACCTTTTATGGAAATTTCAGAGACAACACATCTAAGACAAAAGTATTTATCAAAGTCTGTGTACAAACACCACCTACAACCAGTTAAATCCAAATCTGAACTGAAATTTACCAGTTCAGGCTCTTCCCAGCTTTTGAATTTCAGGTAAGCACAGAAGATGAGAGAAGTCCATACCACAAGGTAGGCACAGCCCTGGGGACTGGCAGCACTGCCTTCTGTTGTACAGTTCTGCTGAACTCAGAGCATATGAAATAGTCACATTAGGTTATACAAGCTGTTAACAGTGACAAATACTCCCTCATTTACTAACATCTTTATTTTTCCCCATCAGGACTGCATTTCAAGCAATAACCAGGAAAGAAGATTAACAAAAAACACTGCAGACGGAGCAGGAACAGTAAAGCAGAGTGACTCATTACATCCATCTGAAAATGTGTCCACTAAGCCTCAAAGCCTAGAGAGAACGCAAAGCAGCATAATGTTTGCTACCAAAGATCAACAGAAAGGTGAAGAAATTAATTCCATAAGGCTCCACAAACGGAGGAGGAGATTTATAATTAAAAAGAGTCCAGTTCTGATTTCCATTAACAACTCCATTCTCAACTTGCCCACTCTGAGGTATGAGGATAGAAGCAACAAGAAGTGGAAAAGTCTCTATCAGATCCAAAGAGAAAGGAAGCGGATTATGAGGGAAACTTGTTCTAAATACAAGAGTAATAACAGAAGAATAATCACTCCTTACCATGTTTCTAGAATATTTGTAGAAGATAAATATAGAGTTTTATACTGTGAAGTACCAAAAGCTGGCTGCTCTAACTGGAAACGGGTGCTCATGGTTCTTAATGGGCTGGCTTCTTCCACTAAAGACATACAGCACAACACAGTGCACTACGGAAACTACTTAAAAAGACTGGATGGGTTTGATCACAAAGGAATATATCATAGGCTCAACACTTACACAAAGATGCTTTTTATTCGTGAGCCTTTTGAAAAGCTGGTATCTGCATTTCGGGACAAGTTTGAACATCCAAACAACTACTACCACCCGGTTTTTGGAAAAGCCATCATTTCCAGGTATCGGGTCAATGCCACCAAAGAAGCATTAAGGACAGGCTCTGGAGTTAAATTTCAAGAGTTCATTCAATATCTCCTGGATGTACACAGGCCAGTGGGTATGGACATCCACTGGGATCATGTCAACAGGCTTTGCAGCCCGTGTTTAATAGACTATGACTTTGTTGGGAAATTTGAAAGTATGGAAGAAGATGCAAACTTTTTCTTGCACTTAATTGGTGCTCCACAAAATTTAACATTTCCCAAGTTTAAAGATAGGCACTCCACTGAAGAAAGAACTACCACTAAAATTACACAACAATATTTTGCACAGCTTTCTCCTTCTCAACGACAACGAAGCTATGACTTCTACTATATGGATTACTTGATGTTTAACTATTCAAAACCCTTTGAAGATTTATATTGATTTGAGAGCTGGAACATTTCCAGTCATATGGGTTGAATTGTATAACAAATCTAGGTGGCTTCTGTTTATATATACTTATCTGTTAGTAAACAATTGGTTGAAGAGCAGGAAAAAACCCAAACTGAACATAAATGGCTAGCGATGTTTACGCCTTCACCTTAATTGCCTCCTTTTTCAAATCATATTTTTTCTATAATTTCTCCACATGAAATGTATGTACATATATGTATAATATGTCAAGGTTCCCAAATAAAGTACATGATTTTCCATGCTGGTGCGTGGCCTGTGTTTGCACTGAGAGGACAGTTTGAAGCTGGAGAAACACAGCAGACAACTATGCAGCAGAGCCAGTATTTCCCCTTTACTATTTAGGCAGTTAAGTCCAAAAGTGACAAGAGTAGCAAAAAAAAAAAAAAAAAAAAAAAAAAAAGATTTTTTTCATCTCATTTCAACTGCTGGATACATTGAGTAATATTTACAGTTTGTTAAACTCCACAGCATGAAGTCATACACTAAACTGGCATGATGTATTTGAAGTTGGTTGTAGATTGCTATTTCCAGACATTTGTAAGTTAGTTATGGAAAAAAAGCTTATCGCACACAGTGAAAACACACACCGGTGAAGACACCTAAGACTTAATGACCATGTGAGTGCAGTATTAAATCAGATGTTGCAATTCAGAGTGAGGATGTGTTCTCCCCCTTCAATATTTCCCTTATGGCACATTCATCTGCACAAAGATAAAATGCAGGCGAACATTTGCATCTTTATAAATGTTATTAAGATTCTTTTAATCCTTTGCATTAACATAAATCTCTGGTTTAATCTTCACAGTCACCAGGAATATCAAATCTTTCCTTCATAATAACAAGCAAAAATAAATGCATCTTCCTGTCCAGAGTTATTCTTTCCATTGCTGCAAACAATTTGCACGTGTTTATTTCAGTAACAATTAGATTTGACTTTGACACAAAAAAAAATCCAGGTGTTTTAGTTCAGTTGTTCATTTCCTACACTTAAGAGAAGGCTTTCTTTCATCTCTAGCAGAAATCTCATGAGAATCAAATACCTGACCTTCCACTGGTTTTATAATCTTCACCCTAATTCTGCATATAGTATCCTTGTTTATATGTCATTCAACTACCTGAAGTTATGACAGTTAAATTGGTCAAACTGAAACAAGTCTCAGATTCTACCACAATGCCAAACTTGAACTCCCCAGTAAATTTCTAGAGTTTGTATTTCACAATCAAGAATTCCATCAGAACTCGCACTTCAGAAGAATACAGGCACATGAGAAGAAACACTTGTTTAAAGCAGTTTCACATTTACAGGTTCAGATCCTCATACAGATAGTTTTATGCATCACAGTTTCCCCAGAAACATGCAACTTCTATTTGGGGTTTTTTTGGTGTTTTTTTTTTAATTTTAGTATGGGGGGAAGTGTTCTTGAATACCTTGTACTGAAAGCTTTACTGACAAATACTTCACGTGTGTCTGACATCAGACTTGCATTTTTCATTCAGAGAAAGACTGTTTGCATTAGAAAGCTAGTGTGGAACTTACACTGTTCCACAAAAACAGTCACTGCTCCAGGTCTGCCCAAGCTTCTCATCACTGTCCGTGCTGCTGCAGCAAACCACCTACCCCACTTTTCCACCCCCTCAGATGCTCATTGATCTGCTCACATGATTAGGGAACAGTCTTTTTAGTCAAGTAATTTTTCTGCTAGGCCAGCTCAGATTAGCAGTTACAGGCTGGAAACTATTCACCTGGGCTGCTCTGCCAACAGGTAAGGGCAGCAGGAAGCCTCCCTCCACAGGTCACACTCCAAAGGACAAGGCACACAAATACTCCCCCGCTGCTGACAGAGGAGAACGTTGATTCTGACAGTGGCAGGACTTATTGGGGGACGGGGGCAAGGAGATACAGTCAAGACCACTACTAGGAATTTGAATTATGCTATCCTTAGTATTTAATGATATTAAGTGCTCTAAGAAGCAATGGTACTCTAATTGATACAATTAATTTGCCTGCAGTTATGGACATCACAAATAGTCACCAACACAAGGAAAGGATAGAACAGATATTGGAGCCCTTATAGCTTCTTTTTCAGGGCCTGCTCTCGCAAGCAGCTCAGTGTACCAGAGCACAGTGTCTGCTCCTACAGACTAGAGCTGAACTCATTCAAGTCATCTGGCAAGCTTCCACTGAGCTGAGAATCCAAATTCATGTTATTGAAGCAAAATTATAGCAGAAAAGATGCCGATTTGCAGGTTAGTTCTGTGATGCGACCAGAGTAAAGCTGGGTAGCATTTGTATTCAGATCTCTACTAGTTTTAGAGGGCTCTAAGGGAAAGATTAGAGAACTTAATCCTACAGCTAGATTTATGTTGAAGACATGACTTCCTCCTCCCTCACCCCAGTTCCTTTTCAGCTTAATCTACACATACATATAAACTGATAGTGCCACAAGATTACTTTTATATCTGAAAGATGTGTGACTTCACCAAAGCATTCACCAAGTGGAGAAAAATATCAGCAAAATTACGCTTCCAATTGTATCAAACTGGTGCTTTTCCTACTACCAACACCTCCCCGACTCTGCCAAATCTATTTTAATTAAATCCTTTACTACTCCAATAAAAGCTAACAACAGGGAAATAACATTTTTAATGACAACTGGAGATTAATACTTTGGCAGGGTTTTGTCTGGCTTAACAAGCATTCTTTAAACAAAGATTGTGAAAGAGATTACTTGCATGTTTATGACAAGCTGTATATGGCACAGCAGCATCTGTTTTACAGTATCTCAAGGAAGACAGAAGTAACCTTCTAAATACTTGAATCTATTTAATACTGACCAGTTGCACTAATTTGGCTTTGTTACTTTCATCATTTACTCTCTAGTGACTAGTACAAACAATGCAAAAAATTGTTTAAAACAAAAAAAAAACCTGTAAAAATCTATTTTAAAGCCAGAAGAGATGTTTTATCTTGAACATACACACACAAAAAAGCTAAGGCAGCAGACAAGTAAACTAATATTTTGATATCAAAATGTTTAAATACAAAGAAAGAATTTTAAACTAAATGCTGTTAAGTTTCCATACTGCTCATTTCCATTGTCTTTTCCCCCCCACATACAAAATCTTGACTTTCCCAGTTTTGATAATGCAATTGAACTTTTTTCCAGAGTTGTTAATTCCAGGGGTTTGGGTTTTTCTACTTAATCCTGCTAAAGCTGTCACAGAAGTCAAGTTACAAAGGCCCTGAAACATCAACAGATCAGAATTTTATGCCTCAAAGCATTCTAAAGCCTATAGCAGGGGAAAAAGAAAAGGGGGGATTTACTCAGATACCTATTTAGTTTATAGAATTTATTTTTTGTGTTTCCAGAATAAATCAATAAGACTATTTTTAAGAGGCAAGACTATCATCTAAAACAAAGCCGACTTTGTTCGTCAGCTTATGCTCTCCCGGCACTCCAAGCTGCCAGCTCCAGCTCTATCGCTCAACAGGTACTCCAGGCCGAGCGCTCCCCTCACCAGTCCTGCTGCCCAGAATACAGCCACATGAAACACACCCAGCAGTGCAATATGCAGTTTATTATCCAGCTTTGCAAAGTCTGCAACTGAAAAGAGCCATCATTTTTGAATTAAGGGATAATTTAAGAACTTGACATCAGGATGCTGTACACAAATTTCATGAGGATCTGAATAAAGTCAGCCCCTTTGAGATCCTGGTGTACTTTAAAAAAAATATCCTTGTAATGTGCATAAGCTGAGTTATAGTGATTTGCACGTTTTTGTGCTATAAAAGCCTCCCAAAATTACAACACATATTTATTATTGTTGACCTCATAGCAGTACTGCCAGTTCATGTATCAAGAGATTAAAGGGAGTCTTCTTAACTCCTTATGTCCATAGCTTTTCAGAATTTGCATGATGGGTTTCCAACACCTTTTTCCATAATAATCATCAATATCTGAGCACATCAGACTGCATAATATCAAAAGTCAAGATGGACTGAGGATATATCTCCCTTTTGCCACGATTTGCTTTACTGGTTTACAGCTTATCTTCACAATTGATGTTTTTAAAAGTTTTAAAACGTAGGTACTGAGTTCTGGCAGTTCTGTCCCATCCTCCTGTCATCCCTCCCACACATACTTCATTTGAGCAACTTTCTCAGTAAGCACATTCTTCAGATGATCACATGGTATTTTTTTGAGAGAAGGATCCACACAGTAAGAAAGATCCACATCACAGACTGCGTGTACCGCACAGGACATTAATTTAATCCTTAGCTTCTTTGCACTACTTCTCCCATTTGGCTAATTCAGTATAAGCTAGTATATCACAAATCCATGTATAATTATCTACTTATATACATACATATAAAGGACTAAAAAAATCTGTGCAAACAGCATTACACATACCAAGGTATCTATTACTAGAAAGATTTTAATGTAAGAACTCATAAATGAGTGGAGACTGATATAATCTCACAAAGATGAATTGTAAAATGAATAGAAGGAATATCAAACACATGCATTGTTTTTTAAATAGTTGTTCTTGGCTTCTTTGTACAATAATACAAATTAATTAGTCAGGCCAATTCAAACTGTACCACATTATCTGGAATTACCACATTAACTGAAATGGGGTTTCTCTGTTGTTGCTTTGCTTAATTATTATTGCTTTATTGTCGACACAAGTTGCTTTAAATCACTGCTTTGACAGACATCCTTTCTCTATCCCCAACAAGAAGTCACACAGGTAGCTGGGGATACTCCAGTCAACCACTGGGAAGAGAAGTACAAATCTCAACCTTTCTGTTCATTTTAATGCCAGTGATACCAGAACAGCAGCATCTGCATGCAGCAGTAGCTTGTTTTCAGAGCACAAGACAACAGTCAAAGCAGAGCACAGTCTGTTCGAGCTGATGCTGCTTTAAGGGATTGTTTTCAGGTTGGCATTGCTATTTGTGGTGAATT